ATAAAAGACGTCAATCATTTAAGGACTGGTGGTTGAGTAATTTACGGGTTGGCTCTAGGAAAAAATCTACTAGTCAAAAACAAGAAGAAGTGACGAAAACGACAGCTTCCAGTGGAGAAGGGGACAATATCAATAGAGACACTGGTAGCACTGGACCTTTGAAAAGACCAGCTAAACTTGTTGCTGAGCCTCGTCCTAGAAGCTCTCATGTTGTTTTTGATAATGAAAATGATAATTGACAAAAATAAAAATAACTGACAATGAAAATGAAAATATAATAACAAAAACTAAAAAATAGACAATGTTTTTTAAATTCACCCAGTTAGGTAATTCACCTGAATTCAATCAAATGTCAAAATGACAATTACAAATGATGAGTTGATGACGTATATAATCTATTTTTTTATTTATGAGCTGTTTATCATTAATTTATAGTCTACATCAGTTACCGGTATTATGGCGGAGACTCGGGCGGCCGAGATTAGTAGATATTTGAAGAATAAGTGTACAAAAGTGGCCAAAGCAGAGTCTATAGTTTAAAAGAAACTGCTTTGCTAGAAATTAGTCTTTTTAATAATAAACTCTGCTTACAATACGCACTATGGAGCACAAAAATAAGAATATTGATATGTATAGATTTGTAAGATGGTCATTTTTGATTTCGACAAATGGCACGATTTGGGGAAAAGGCAAATTTATCAGTTTCTAGATTTTCTAATTTCTATAATAATCAGTGATCGATTTTTGTGTCCACGTGATATGAGGTCACCCAGGCCCCACCCTATCTGGTAGGCGTGTCTGCTTCAACTAGACAAGATGGCGATATCTAGCTTCTTGAGATGTGTGGATCTGAAACTCATTTTGAGGTTATTCATTTATTGTTGTACTACACACCACTGAATATTGAGACGGTCCACAAACTGAGTTAGCCCTGTCACTATTTTCTATTCTGTGCTGTAAAGTATAATAATAATAATAATATTAATAATAATAGTATGTTAGCTCCATGTGCGTGTTGGTGGAGTATAGAAACCAAGAGCTGCTTCATTCCCAGTACAAAATGTGTTTATTGTTACTATTTCTACTCATAGTTCCTCATACTGTATTATTTAGTTATGGGACCAAGCATCTTAGGAGAAGAAATAAAGTAAAAAGAGAATGAAATCATTACTGAGCCCTCAAGGAATGGCCCAGATAGATCCAATAAAAGAAAAGGGATTTTGTAACTGGTGTCGGTATACAAATATTTGTGACTCTTCTCACATTAACAATGATGTTCTAATAATGATGTTGAGACAGGATTGTGGACATTTATCCTAGATCATTTATGATTATGATGTCATTAAGAATATTGTTGATTTTTAACCAGTTTTGAGTATATATATATGTGTGGTAACTATTATAGATAGACCATAATCTATTATGGTTTTTACGTGTAATGTTAAGTGTTTCTGCTGTAGCATTTACAACTAAAAGTTTTAAAAAATGAAATGTCTGAAATACATTGGAACAGTTAGCTAGCAGTGGTGCAAAGTAATAAGCTCTGAAAGAATTGCAGCTGAAAAAAAAGTGGAAAGGAGGAACTGAGGAAGACATGCACTAACACCCACTCAAGTGGGGCATGGCTGGGCCCTATCTTTCAGAGTTTCTGCATCAAAACTCACCAATTTTGTCATGATCCACTCTGTATAGCTAACAGGTAATGTTTAAGCAAGAATGAAAATTAATTGCAAGCAAACATAAAAATTTGTCAATTTGTGCTCTTTCTGGCCTTCAAGACCAGTAAAAGTAGATGTTGAACTTACTTGGCTTGAAAGCCAAGTTTGGTAAAATCCCCCCAAGTTATGTGTAATTGCAATAAACTTTCACTCTTGCTTAAACATTAGCTGCTAGCCATACAAGATAGTTTCTGGTAAAATTGGTGAATTTTGATGCAGAAACCCTGAGTTTTAGCCCGTAAAATACCCAGCCACTCCCAGACTGAGTGGGCGTTAAGGCCTGGAAATAATGCTTTTAGCTCTGTATCTCGTATATTTTAGACACTTTCTTAGTGAAACTTTTTATGCAATATAATCTACATTTATGCCAAGCATTCAAGTATATAAAGTGGCAATAGTATGATTTTTTTCACTAGTTAAAAATTAAAATTAAAATTTCTAGTTTTCTTGCTTCACAATGGTACAAAACTT